CCACAGTTCAGTTCTGTGTCTGCTGGAACCTGCAGCAGAAGACGGGTTTATGTGGAGTCCCCTGGACGGGCTTAAAAGGCAGGATGGATAGAAAAGGGAACGGAAAGGAAAGCAATCCTGTCAGAGGAAATCCCCGCGAAGTGTTTCATGTGTGCACACAGAGGTGAGGAAGATTTTCCAGCTGTGACTCCACGAGGAACGAACATGAGCAGCAGAGGACAGAAAGAACAGCTGGAGCCCTGAGAGGATCCAAGACGTGAAAAATCCTGATAGAGGCCCGAAAACAGCCCAGAAGTAAAGTTTTTCCTCAAACACAGAAACCATGTGAATCTCCTCCAGCAGGTTTGCAGAACAATCACCTTCTGAATGTGGAGAATCTGACACGACTCTTCTGGAAAACCTCCAGCTACAGAAACGAAAGAGGAGCTTCCAGGTGCTAATGAAGCAATCAGGCTGCAGCAATCTGGCCTTCTCCATCCTCCATCCCTATCCCCCCTCATCCTCACTCTCACCCCAACTGGTCGAGGCAGACGACCACCTTCCCTCAGCCTGGTTCTGTCTGAGGTTCTTTTCCTTCCCGTTAACGGGTTTTTGGTTCCTTCCCACTGTCGCCGGCGGCCGACTCATAGGGGTTCTCTGTTTGTTTGTCTGTTTAAAAGTCTTCTCCTCAGTGTGTAAAGTGCTATGAGATGACACATGATGTGAATTGGTGCTGAATAAATTAAATTAAATTAAATTAAATTAAATTGAATAACCAACAATCAGGCCCCAACAACCAACAACCAGGCGACAACATCTGACAACAATGGTGCAAAACCAACAACCACCCTGTGATGATCAACAACCACGTGATAACCAATAATAACTTGTTGAGCAAACACAGTTTCTAAAATCTTTTCTGTTGGAACATTCAGAGATAAAAGGTTTAAAAACACAATATTAATATAAAGATTAACTCGTATAAATCTACAATGAATTGCGATAAAATGTAGTTCAGGTGTTTATGCTCCTCTAAGGATGAAAGGCAATAATTTTGTTCACCTTGAACCTAATTAGAGAACGTTAGCACGCTAACACGCTAACCTAAGATGCAACTTCTGCAGCAACAAAACAAGCAGCAACAGCAACTGGATTTCCAGAAACTCAGGTCAGAAAGTCTCTTGAACACGTCTGTGCGGGTAAAAGCAGCCGATCAGGTGGAAGACACTCACCGTGATGATGGCCTTTCCTACGGTGCCTCCTGGTCTGAGCAGAGCTTTGGACAGTTTCCTCTGGGAGATGATCTGCACACAAACAGACACACAAACACACAACCCAGCTCAGTGCACACATAACACACACTGATGTGACGTAAAGACTTTGTTTCCAAACAGGCAAATCGTGTGAGGAGCTTTTAGAAAAGACCAAACACTTCAGTAAAAAGAAAAACAATCATATTTTTATTCCATTTTTGGGAGACGGCTTCTTTTTTATGTTGTGCATTCTTAGAAAGCTTTCACATGAAAGAGGACGTTCTTAGAAAGTGAAGTCATTTTGACAGTAAAGATGTTTAATTTAGAAAAAATTGCACATTTTGGGAACATTTTGATGACATGTTTTTACAAAGTGAAGCCATTTCAAAAGTGAGGAAATTACTAGAAAGTGAAAATATTTTAAAGGATGATTTTAGAAAGTGAGACCATGTTGGACAGTAGAGACTTTCTAAAACTTACCACCATTTTGCAAAACGGGACATTTTGGTGAAATGAAGACATTTTTTAGAACATGAGGACAGTCAGTACTCGTCCACTGAAGAACTGCTTCATTATAATGTTCAAAAACTGCAAAAACACTGAAAATAACACATTTATATTAAATATACATTAAAACTGTGGAAGTTTGCAGTCAAACAACAACAAAAGAACAAAATGCTGCCTGTAAAAAATACAGATTAATTTGATTACAAACATTATTTACAGTTTTAGCCGTTGTTTGTTTTCTTTGTTTGTTTGTTTGTTTGTTTATAGTTAACACGTAAATGAAAACCTTTTTCTTTTGCTACACATCTGGATGATGTCATATTCATGTTTCACAAAAAAGGAAAAATCTTTCAAATAACAGCACATTTTTTCAAAAATGACTGAACACATCGTTTGTCGTTCAAACGATATTTAAAAAAAAAAATTTTTACTTTTCTTTACTGATTTGAAAAATCCTGATGGAGGTCGCATCGTGCAGCAGCTCCAGAGTTTCAGTGTTTCGACCTCGATGGTGGAGCTTGACCGGCTCACCAGCAGGAGTTCAGAGGTTTTGATTTTGTTCTTGGTTTGGATTTTGAACTCCTCTGAGCGTAGGGGCTTCCTGTTACGGTTTCTTAAATCCAGCTCCACGTCTGTCATGTTGTAAATTCTGCTCTTGAATGTCGTTTCATGTTCAGCTGCAGGATAATAAACCGTCTGCCTTCCTGCTCTGATGAAACAGATCAAACCTGCTCAGTCAGCAGGATAAAGAAGAAGCTGTTTTACTTCATTATGGAGCTGAACTCTGCCGGCCCGACTGCCAGGATCCTCCTCTTCCAGGCCTGTTAGCAGGAATCTGCGTCTCCGTCGGCCATCTGGCTGCTGGATGAGCTGGAAGCTGAGCCGAGCGACGCTGCTGCCAGAAACAAAGACGAGGAGGATGACAATGAGGAGGAGGAGGAGGAGGAGGAGGAGGAGGAGGAGGCTTTTCCGGCTCTCCACCGCCGACCGGGAAGATTGTTTCATCACACTGCTGGCTCGAGTTCTCCATCAGCTCCACCTGTTAGTCTTCCAGCATTGTTTGTGCGGCTGCAGGAGATCCACAGCAGACGCTTCCTGATGAGAAGCTTCTAATGAAGTCGGAGCAGCAGATGGAGAANGGAAGGAAGGAAGGAAGGAAAGAAAGGAAGAAAGAGAGAAAGAAAGAAGGAAAGAAAGAGAGTTTTGAGTATGAAACAATAATTTAATTGGATTAAATGATTCTACATTGACAACAAATTACTAAAATCAATTCACCAAACGATTCACTCTCGTGTTGAAAGTGATGCAGAAAAGTCACTCAGTCAAGATGGAAACATGACGTCTACAGAACGATGGCCGACGTGCTTCAGGCTGGAAGTCGACGCGTTAAACTGCCACCAGATTAATGAAGCATAAGTCTGACAGGAGCTTCACGGTTTGTCTGTCTGGTTTATTGTTTCCTTTAGATCGATCTGGTTGTCATTTTGTCCACCTGCCAGGTATGACCTGACTCCACATCCCTGTAAACGCTCTCAATATTGTACATAAACATCCAAACTCCACAGTTCAGTTCTGTGTCTGCTGGAACCTGCAGCAGAAGACGGGTTTATGTGGAGTCCCCTGGACGGGCTTAAAAGGCAGGATGGATAGAAAA